GAAGTCTAAAAGAACAGAAGTCCAAAAGAACAACTGCAAAGTATAACAGATAGGGCCATAGTTTGATTTTCAAGCTAATTGACTTTTTATTAAACAAACTAATAAACTCCTTCTCTAAATATTCTTCAATATACTGCTTAAGTATTTTTAATTCTTGTTCTGACAGTCCATAAATAGGTTCATATAGAGGTTAGGCATTGTTAATTAAATTGATACAGCCTGTTTTCTGGTAGCTTATCTATCATATACAGTTATTTTTAATTTTTTCATTTTTTGAAGATACATTAGCAGTTTTCTGTTTAAATGAATGATCATTGCAGAAAAAGTCTAAAAAATTAAGGAAATATTCCTTCTAATTGATTTCAGATTGTGTTTTATCAACCAAGGCAGACCTAATATAATGTGATAGTAAGAAGAGATATGAGGTTAAAAGAGATCATCTCTTGATGATCTTGCAACCAAAGTTACAAGAGTTCTGTTTTATGAGTTATAGCTCTAGATTCAACTTCTTTTCTATCAATTACTTCTACTAAAAGGGGTGTAGGCTTTTCAACTATAGGTATAGAATATTTTTTGGCTAGTGTGGTATTTAGAAAGCAAAACAATATCTCTGAGTTCAATAGAGCTGTGATAGGACTCCGAAGAATTTTGATATAACTTAGAGGTTACTAAAAAAAGAAATTTTGTGTAGAAATTTATCAAATATTATATTTTTATATAGTAAAATTTTAAATTTTAGTCTATTTTATATGTCTATTTGGCTGATATTATATAAACTTAGATCTGAGTTGTATCAGAGTTCTTCAGGGTTCTGCTGTGGTTTACAAATCAGTTCTATTTTAGAAACTATAATTTTATTAGGAAAGTAAGAGCCTCAGTAGAGTTAACTACTATTAGTTTTCTAGAGATATTTGTATATGCTTTATTTAGCCACAACTTCTTTATTATGATTAGGGTTTCTTATTTCTTAAACTTTTTTGGGTTATAGCTATAGTATCGATTCTATATTGTCAACTTTTACTCTTTTTAGAACATCTTCTTACTATATAACCTAAGACTTTACAATACAAGCATAGGTTATAGATATGACGTTGTCTCTTCTCTTTTTAAGACAAGGACTTTGGTTTAATAAAATCGATCTGTATCAGCTCTGGGGCTTGAGTTTGGTTGATATTAGTTACCAGGAATTGGTTTCAACTTATACTAAAATCAAGATATTATTCTTGTTATTGTTTAAAAAGTTAGTTATCATATCTTACAGCTTTCATGATTGCGTTATTAAGGAAGGTAGGGTTAGACATTATAAGAAGTAAATACTTTATATCTTTATAAAGCCTAATATGAAATTGGTCAATTAATGCTGTCTTATCCTAGTCCAAATCACCTGAAATTTGTCAAAACTCAGAGGTATAACTACAGTCATACCTGGATTATATCACCTCTTTTTTCTAGAACATTTTTGGAGATATAACTAAGACAGGAATATAAATCAATATATAAAACATATAAAAGCATATAAAAAAAGAAAATTTATTCTGCTTAAATATAGGAATATAACTTAGGTTGGGATATAACCTAGTAGAGATATAACTCGTGTATGACTGTAGATACAGATTAGGTGATTTGAGTAAGTTTATAGATTTATTTGTAGCTATTCTTGCTTTATTCAAATCTTTAAAAGTTGTTTCAAATATATTAACAAAGTCATCAAAATTTTCAAGCAAGGGTGATGACTTTTCTAATAGGGATACAAACTATACCAAGGCAAAACCTATTAACAAACTTCTAATTAAGCCAACTTGAGTTGCATTGTTTGGATAATATTGTGGCTGCAAATATATAATAAAATATATTTGGTTTAAAAATTTACAAAAATTATTGCATAATCTGTCAAACTTGTTAGGTAAGCTTATTTTGGTTATTGTTTGCTTTGGTTCATTAGGACTCTGAGTGACTAATAGATCAACTATAATATATAAGGCTTTATTCTCTTAATAAAGATCTTGATTATCTTGTTGAACTTGCCAAAGTGCTGCTACAATAGTATTAAGATCATATTAGTCTTGTAGATCTTTTATAATAAGAGGAGTTTTTTTTTGTATCTATTATTGTAGTTGTCGCTACTTTTTTTTTGATTATTTTAATTACGGGTTAGAGGTACTAAGATAAAATAGTCTTTTTAAACTATAACAGACAGAGCTATAGTTTATTTTTCATAATAAGCAACTTTTTATTAATCAGACTAATGATCTTTCTTTTTACAAGATGCTTATTTATACTAATTCTAATAACTAATTTTTACTACAATTTTAATACACTTACTATTGCTTACTAATTATATTTTTAATGCATATTATTTTAATCATGATATACTACTTATAATAGCTTTTTTTCAGATCATGATTACAATTCAAATATAATTAAACAAATGAACTCTATCAATTATGTACTTACATAATTATCAGTCACAATCATCAGTTATGCAAAAATATTTGGTTATGATTATGACACAAAGTATTTAAGTATTTTCAAGAATTTGCTAAAATTGGTTATACTAGAGATATATTTAATATTAAGTATTATTATGAAAATAAAATTAGTATCTAAAAGAATATTTGTAAGATACTAGAGTAGTATCAAAAATCTGCAAGCTGGGAATATCTGAAAGGGTATTTAGAATTGGTATTTATTATAAAAAAGAAGTAATATTAAAAAGAATAAGAAAGGCATTTCAAATATTATAAATAAGTCACAGTGTTAGATATGTTGTAGAAGTTTTCAATATTGGGTATTGCTATTATTATAAAATTGGAGTCAAAAAGAATAAGCATAAAGTATTTACATAGTATTAAAAAACCTGTTAATATAGGTCATGCTAAAGATACATTTAATATTAGTATTATTATAAAATGAATTGGAGTTAAATCCAAAAAAAATGACTGCAAAATATTTAAATATTAGTAAATCTGCTATATGAGGCATGCTAAGAGAGTATTTAATTTGCATATGTTATGAAAAAAGAATTAGAGTAATAAAATGATAAGAAAAAAGTATTCAAATTTATAAAAAGCACCTGATATTGAACATGCTAAAAAAATTTTAATATTAAGATATATTATCAAAATAGAATTAGAGTCAAAAAAAGACAAACTTTAAGTCTTTAAATATTTTAAAAATTTATGAATATGAGTTATATTGATAAAATAAATAAAGTTAAATTCTGTTATTATTGTGAAATTGAAATTGAAAAAGAAGAACAAAAGAGTTAAATGAATTAGAA